TCTCCAAGTCCACAAAACATGTAGACTGGATGGGCAAACTCTCATGACCCCTCAAGGACCGTAGTGAGGGTAAAGAGCTGGTCCAGTGTTCCACGGCCAGGACAGAACCTGCATTGCTTCTCCTGAATCTGAGGTTCGACCAACGATCGGACTTGTGGCAGCCATCTTGATTTAAGTTTGCTCCTTATGTTAATCGGTCATATCATTCTTGTAAATTTTCTGTTGCTTTTGTTCAAAGTATGAGCAGAAAAATGATCATTCCACCTTGTAGTTCAAATACCTAAAACATATAAAAACCTGTTGAGGCTTTTGTTTTTAAATATGCAGATAAGGCAGTTGCTAAAAGTTTTGCAGACCTGAACCACTGAATGTATTTTATATCACTGAACCCGACATATCTTTTAAGGGAAAAAAACTCATTATTCAGCTTTTACATTTTTCACAATTTTTTTTTAAACTTTTTTCCTACTAAACAAAAATGTTTTGATAACATTTTTATAGAGTGCTAAATCTACTGTATATTTGTTGTCAATATTATTGTGAGATTTTTAACTTCTTGGGTGTAAACGTTTAGAACAGTTTATTGAGATGATTTAAACAAGAAATAAGTTTGTCTTGAAAAAATGAAACCCAAATCAAATATTGGGGGTGACACTAATGGCAAGTAGGCCTATATTTATTCTGTTTATGGTGATCTTGAAAAGACCCACCGCTGCCTACATATAGCTCAATCACAGTTTATATAAATGCAAATATATAGACATATATATACATTGGGGTGCACTGATTTATCGGCCACAATTTCCTTAATTTTGGCAAATCGGCCGATATTTGCATGAGAAACCGATTTTACAGATTTTTTTTGTTGTTGTTTTTAACAACAATTGTCTGAACTTCATTTATATTTTAGAGCACTATCTCATGGCCAGTTAAAACAAGTTCGTATTGTTTCTAGGATATTGTTCAAGGGTCTGGTTTGCAATAAAATAATACTGGAAAACTGAAGGTGCATTGTGACCTTATAACACCTGACAGTGTCGCTTATAAAACAAAATCGGAATCGGCAGGTCAGACTTTTTAGAAATCGGTGATCGGTGATCGCCGATCGGCCACAGAACCGTAATCGGTGCACCCCTAATATACATAAATAATGTGTGTGTCGACTTGCTGTCTTTTTACAGGCAAAGTTCATCACTTTTACCAATTATAAAGACACTGTGGAGGAGAGATTCATCTCTAAACTGTGTGGTTATCCTTTATGTCCAAATAAACTTGGCAAGGTAAGACACTTATCTTAAAGGCCTGGCATACTCCATTCAAAGCAGCAAATTGGTCTTTCATTGTCACGTTTGCGTAATGAAAGTTGCATCATTTTGTTCTCAGAGCAGCTTCGCCCGCCCTTTCTCGACACAAAGCCCGGGTTGAACTTTTTCTCATAGCCGTATGCACCAAGTATTGTGTAACTGGTCAGAAGTTAGTTTGTGGGCGTGTTGGTCAGTGTAGAAATGTGCTTGGACATTCAGCTGCGCGACTAAACAAACTAAAAAAATTAGACAAATGGTCAAAAAGACCTGGATGGAGACAGAAGACATCGTGCACGGAGGAGCCTGTCTGCTGAAAAGTGTGGTGCTTTCTTCATCATAGATTTGTGGCCAATTGGCAGATGCAGGGACAGAGTGGAGACTCTGAAGGAAAGACCCGTGTAGTGATGTATACTGCTGCAGGAGGGGGTTCGTGGGTGCTCTGTGTTGTGAGGACTATGAAAGGTGTGTGCAAAAAACAAACATTCCTCAACCACATCACCGTGAGTCGACTGTCCGGCTTCAGATGGAGTATGCCAGGCCCTTTCATTGTCGTGCTTGGGTGTAACTAAACTCTGAAACATATTTGATTGTTGGTTTTGAGGCTCTGTCCATCTTGTAGATCCCCACACAGCAGTACAAAATATCCACCAAAACAAACCGAGTGTATGACATCACGGAGCGCAAGGTGAGTACTTTAATTTGTTATGTATTTATTTTACAAAGTTAAAAACATATTAAAAGCCTAAAATCTCCTTCCATTGTTGTTTTTAGTGTTTTTGTAGCAACTTCTGTTATAAAGCCTCTAAAGAGTTTGAGCTGCAAATATCAAAGACACCACTTTGGCTCAGGAAACATGAAAGGTGTGATGGTCTTTATTTATTTATTCTGACTAAGATGTGTTTGTGAGATGTAAAATATATGCTCTAAACATTATGTGACCTTTGATTGACAGCCCTCCAGATATAACGTTGCTGAAGAAAGGAGATGGGTATGTACTCAGTGTTTACAGTTGTTCATCTTTCCAAGTACAGGACGGTCATTTTTACATTTTCCTTGACGTGTTTTTACTTTTCAGCTCATACGAACCTGTGTTGTCTTTTTAGCTTCATTTCATGTGCCTGTCCCTGCATTTTAGAGCTGAACGCATCCTGGAATGAAATGGACTGTAAAGTTTTCATCACTTTATAAAGTTGCCATTTGAGCAACACTTACAAGTTATGGTCATTGAGAACAACAAAAGAATAATATCAGGTGTTATTTAACCTTTTATATATATATATATATATATATTAACCCTAAATATGGTCTGTTTAATAAATAGCTCATTAATTTTTTCAATCCTAAACCAATTTTTCAGAATATAATTTTAAAAATCATGCAACACTTATCAGAGCTACTTTTATATCTTGAATGTGTTCAGCTTAAATAGTTCTGCCTCTGTCAAACAGATGATCTTTGATAACAGTGGGGAGGTGAACATGTCCACCTGTGAGCCGTTGTCTGACTCGTCCATCTGACGTAAGGCTGCAGTTTGGACAAAAGACGGCGACAAAGCTGCATTAGTGAAGCAAACGACAAGCATCAAGATGTCTTTTTTCAAAACCAAAAGTAAATGATATTTAGAAAGTCTCAGAGGGAATTGATTGAAAAGTTGTTGTTGTTTTCACTTTGACAAAACAAGTCAAATCATAATTCGTTTTCCAAAAGAATCCAAAGAACGTGGACGTAACACACAGAGCTGCTGAAAATGTTTCACTGCGTTTATGAAAGGATCCCTGTGAGCAGCTTGGACATTAACCAAAAAACAACTTTATTTTAACGCTAAAGCTGTGAAAAACCAAACGCTTCCTGTTCTTGGTGAAGTTGTGGTTGCTAAAAAAGTTTGGCACATTTTTGCCTGCGGCCACCAAACTCCTGTGTTTGTTTTTTTATTTATCTATTCATTTTTTCAAAAGAAACAAAGCAAATTCATTAAAAAAAAAAAAACATTGAATGAAAAGGGTGCAGAAAGAAGAAGAAATTTCTTATATCTGTCCCATGTTCAAATATTAATTAGCGAAAAACAAAAAGGGCAGGATTAAACAGCTTCAGATGAGTACCGTAGTTTAGACACAATATTGAGATAGTTTGGTCATGTTCAAAGAAGAGATGTTGGGTTTATTGGACAAAGGATGTTGAATATGGAGCTGCCAGGGAGGAGGGAAGGAGAAAGACCACAGAGAAGGTTCATAGATGTGACGGAGGGCGTACAGAGGGTTGGTGGAAGCAGATGGCCCTAAAGGGAACAGACAAAAGAAGACGACCCAATAAGTTCCTCCATTCCAAGATCTTGGGAATTTAGTGTACCCGAAATGTTAAAATGGATAATTGAAATAAATAAAAGACAAACTTCAGTTTTATTGTCAACATTAAAACAATTTAAAATCTTAATAACTGTGTTTGATGGAGGCTCTGACAGTTTTACTTGTGTGTTTAGTGGGAGCTCTGGTGAGGAGGTGATGCTGTCAGAGAGGCGACTCAAAGAGGATGACGTCGAGAACCCGCAGGCCGCTCCACCTGAAAACCTTCATGGCTCTCTGGAAACCTCCACAGGAGGTGACAGCAGCGACGGGGAACAGGAGCAGGACTTTGACCCCACTGTGGTCTCCCAGCAGGACAAACCCCGCGTGCACTGGTGTGATCAACTGGAACGCTCGGATCAAGACAGAAAAGTGGAACGAAGGAAGAGACAGGACAGAGAAAATAAACAAAATGAGCACCGTCAAACTCACAGCGCAGAAAAAGAAAACGTGTTAAGAGGCGAGAAGGAAAGAAAAGAGCCGGACGCTGGAAAACTTCATACGGCAGTGCAAGAACAGAGAGACTCCTCTAAGGACCAAAGTCTGGAAGAAGCCACAGAAAAGATAAACGAGTGTAATTTGTCAAAGGTCATTCCTAACACGCACCCAGAGGCAGAAGACACGCCCACCTCTGCTGCAGCGACAGGAACTGAACCCTCACCAGGAAGCAAACATGGCTCTTCTACAACTCTGACTGCAGGACTCAGCATCACCCAGGTGGGTATGAGCAGGAGAGGAGCAGACTGCCTGCGAGATCTGCTGAGGAACCACGCTGGAGAATCCAAACGGGACTCGGTGCGACTTAATCTTCTGGAATGTCTGAGGAGAACACTAAAGGAATGGTGCACAGAGGAGACCCTCCAGTTCCTGTACGGTGATGATCATTCACCAGTTTCCTCCTTCGTCGATGTGAAACAGGAGGAGTTGGACGAAGATGATCTGGACGATGATGTAACTGTTGCTGGAGAGCTAAAGAGGCCATCAGCTGCAGCTCCAGACTATGAGATGCTGCGGAGGCGGACGGAAGAGCTGGAGCTCCGAGTCAGAGAGTTTTATAAAGGGACGTGGGTTCTGCCCGAGGAGGAGCAGGAGCTGAACGGGAACAAGGTGAGTGGAGGAGAACGAGTCAACACGGGGGAACTTTGACGAAAACATCTGGTTCAAACATTTAATTTGTTGCAGCCATGATAAAATGTAGGCACGCCCTTTTTCAATTGGAAAACATGATTGGTTATAATCTAAAACCATTTGGTTGTTACCATGTTTTAAACAAGTTAAACATTATTTATTTAAAAATAAAAATAACACGTGACCAGTCCTTGGTTTAATATACCGTAGAACCTCAGTTTGCCACAGTAACTCAGTGCTGGTGGTCTGTCTGAATTTATTGGTTTCTCACATGGTTGTAGAGGGGTTTTGGCCCACTCTTCTGTTCAGCATTTCTTCGGTTCATTAACATTTGGTTTCTCCTCAGCTCTCTTCAGGTCTCACCACAGCATTTCAATCCGGACTTGTTGTCATTTTGTCTTTTCTGTTTGAACCATACCACTTTATTTATAAAGCACTTAAAACAGCAACAAGGCCAACCAAAGTGCTGTACAGCAAAAACAAACAAGCGAAGGACATAGCAAAAACTACATAGATCTACAGAGGTAAAGATAAGAAACTAAATGACTAACATTATAGAATACAGACAGGTTAAATCAACTCACACAGTGTCAAAAGTCAGGGACTAAAAGTGAGTTTTCAAACAAGACTTCAAAACAGTGAGAGAGGGCGACTGCCTGACATGCACGTGGTAAGTCATTCCACAGTTTTGGACCTGCAACAGAGAAAGCCCTGTCACCTTTGAGTTTATAACGAGTGCCTGGAACAAATAAAAGCATCTGGTCTGACCTCGGAGAGCGTTGTGGGACATATGGCTGTGGCGGATCAATGAGATAAGAGAGGGCAGAACTGTTCATAGATTTAAAAACATACAGAAGTATTTTAAAATGAATATGAAAGTGAACAGGGAGCCAGTGAAGGGAGGCCAGAACTGGTGTAATGTGCTCTCTTTTGCCTGTACCAGTTAAGAATTGGGCTGCAGCATTTTGAACCAGTTGTAAACGTGCAATAGAGGTCTGATTCCAAAAAGAAGTGCATTGCAGTAATCAAGCCTGGATGTTATAAAAGCATGTATTACTGTCTCAAGATTACGTTTGGACAGTATAGGCTTCAATTTAGACAGTCGCCTCAATTGAAAAAAAGAGGATTTAACAATCATGTTTACATGACTAAGTTTCCTGGAAGAGTCCATTTTCACTCCCAGATCAGTGACGACTTGTTTCTCTAACAGGGCTAGAGAGGAAAGGTTGGTACAGTGGTTGTTGATTGTGCCATTAGGTGGAAACATCAGGACTTCTGTCTTCTTCTCATTAAAATTTAAGAAATTCAAACCCATCCAATCTCTGATGTCAACCAGGCAGTCAAGAAGAGGTTGGATAGAGTGTGCACGTGTGCTTCAGAGGGAAGTAAATTTGACAGCCATTGGTGTAAATTGAAAAGCTATGTCGTGCTTATGAAAAATAGCACCTAGTGGCAGCAGGTATAAAGAAAAGAGAAGAGGACCAAGGATGGAGCCCTGATTCTGATGTAGATTATCTGCTGTGTTTGGGATCATTATCCTGTTGTATCATCATGACCCAGTTTGGTCCAAACTTCAGCTGTCACACAGATGTCCTCACATAGACTCTAGAATCCTTTGGTCTACAGAGGAGTTCATGATCAGCTCAGTGACTGCAAGGAGCCCAAACCATCAGCCCTCCACGTGCCGACAGCTGCTAGGAGGTGTTTGTTATGATGTGTTTGGTTTTCCTAAACGCAGTGCATGGCATTATAGGGAGACATCTTCACTCTGGTCTCATGTTGTTCCAGAAGTCTTGTCTAATATTCAGATGAACCTTGACCTCCTAAACTGAAGTCCTGTTGCCTTGTTTATCTCAAAAGACTAGAAGTTTTCTTCTATCAACTCTTCTAATCAAATCAAACCAAACCCGTTCAGACTTTTTTCTTTTTGTCCTGTCATGATCTTTAACCTGCTAACAGAGACCTGTAGAGTCTGAGATGGAGCTTTTTGTTTCTTGTAAAATCTGACCTTAGGGTAGCCTCACTAGAACATTCACTCTAAAGAAAACTGAGCTAGAAATGATTACAAGTGCTCTTTCTTCTCACAGACTCTTAAATTGTTTGGAAATGACTTTTGATCCCTCCCAGACTGATGATGAGCAGCATGAGCTGCTTCTGTAAGGTCATTGCTGATGTCTTTCTACCTTGGTATTGTGTTAACACACACCTGTATGCTCCAGAGGAACAACAAGCTAAATGATCTGCTTTCATAAAGGTGGACTCACTGATGATTATCATCTGATCAGCAGCTCCTGATAATGAACCTTTTAAATCCTGTTGAAGCAGCAGCGCTGGACTTAGGAGGCTTTTCCATTTTGGCTTCAGTTTTGTTTATCGAATAATGAGTCTGTGGAGTCGATGGTGCACATGTTCGTACGCTTGAGGTTAGAAAATGTTCGATATTTTTGATAATTTTCTGCTATGTAAAACCCTTGACCTGAAAGAAGGTGGACTTTCTTTCCCCCATGATTGGAATGACTCAGTGATTTGTTTTTGTTCATTTAATGCTGCCTTTAGTTACCACGAGTATGTGGTCGGTGTGTTGTTTGATTATTTCCAACACAGTCATGTTTGTTCTTTGCAGCGAGATACGGTTCAGGACCAGATCACGAAGGATCCAGCTCTGCCTCTCATTGACTGTCACGCCCAGCACCTCATCCAGAAACGAATCGTGGTGGAGAAGCTCAACAGCTGGTGCGTGTATCTGTGGTGTTTTTGTATTTTATTTTTATAAACGTAGAAGAAAAAACATTTCATCAAATGTTTTCTGTAAATATCCTGATGCATGCTCAATAATCCAGGTAGAAAAATCTAGAAAAAGTTAAGTCAGGTCCACTGTAAAGTTAACTATTTACACAACATAAATGGATTTGTTGTTTTAGACTTTTAGACAGCCTGAAGGGTCGTTTAAATTTTTTTAGAAGTAACAGTACCAAGCTTAAACATGTTCTCCTTTCAAAATAAAACAACGTCTCACTATTTTTCACCTGAAGTCAGATCTTAAGACTTTCTTTGGACCACTGGGACATCTGTACCCCTCACCTGTCAAGCAATAGATGAATTTTGTAGTTTCTGCTTCAACCAGAGCAGCTTCACAAATCTCAACCTCAATATATACATATATTTTGCATCCAACACACTGCTCCTTTGTGTGGCATTATGGGAAAATTGGAAGAAATAAGGAATAAAATAGCCAAACTCCACAATTCTGGTTCATCCTTGGGTACAATTTTCAAATGACAGAAGCTTCAATTGTTCAAACAAATACGCACGAGTATAAACATCGTGGGAACGTCCTGCCATCATACAGATCAGGATGGAGACAGGTTCTGTGTTTCTGAGATGAGTATGTTTTGGTGTGAAATGTGTATATCAACCTCAAAACCAGAGCAAAATCCTTGTAACGATGCTGCTGAAGCTGGTCAGAGAGTTGTTGTTCTCAGTTAAATAAGACGGGTCCGTTTGTTTCCGTGTGACTGTTTTCTCATGACTTTGTTCACCAGCAAAGTGCATTTGTGAAGTTTGAAACAGATGTTCTAAAAACAGATACTTTGTACAAAAGGACTTCTGGTCTACTATGAACAAACGCCCACTTGAAAAGGTTTAAAGAAGTGGAACAATATATAGTTCCTAAAACTGTTATGCACCATCATGTATGTAAACATGGATTACTCTTGAATGTCTTTTACAAACACTGACAGTTGTGTTGAAGAAAAAAAAAGTTTCTGTGCAATAAAAACTAAGAAATAAACAGGAGCTCTAACACTGACTCTTTTTAGCTTGGTCATAGACAATTAAGATGGACTTTTGTCTCTGATCCGGGTTGGCCTGCAGCTGGTCTGCATGTGGACCAATTAATGCCCCAGTAGACATGTTCCTTCTGGGTTCCTAACTTTTTGTGTGACTGAGTGTTCAAGCTCCTGCACTGATCTGGAAAACACCACGTCCACAAGCTGATAATTGATTTTGTATCTGTCATCTGTTTTTGTGTGCAGTCTCAGAACCGTTGTAGGTCCACTGGGTCTCACCTTGAGCGAGATCTCCACTGACCTGAACAATCTGGTCCGGACCTTTAGGTGAGAACCGACACACAAACTGTCACACACGACCCCATCACTGCGATTGTTGTTGTTTGTTATGACTAATTGCTGGTATTTATTTTGGATTATAGTCCGCTCCGAATAAAGTTTGACTTGTTGACAATAAAAGCTAATACTGACATAAAAATAAGATGGTATTGAAACTATTGTGAACACGTACTTATGAACATGATTTAGAAACTTATCTCTATAAAATACTGAGTCTTTGAGAAGAAAAAGTGAGAAATATGAGAAAACTTTTGAACAGTATATGGTAACAAGCTCAGCAGGGATTTTTTAATTTCTTATTTCTACTATAAATCACATCCTCAAACGACTCAGTAAATCAGGAACAGCTTTTATCTCACATTCGTGCTCTCACACTCAGACAGTAAGTCCTGTGGAGCTGCAATAGAGTTCTTGGCAAGGTTTATTTCCACTTTCTGAAGGCAACACTCATGATGAAAGCTACTACAGAGATTTTAGAACAACTAAGTTCGCTGTAACTTTTTTATAAAATACATAACATCCAAAACAAACACTGCCCACATTCCAAAGGAATGGCAGAACAAAAAGAATTGCACAAGACAGGCTGAACTGGCTGCAGTCCTTACCTGTCCCTAACAGATCATCCATCCATCATGTTCCGCTTGTTCTGAAGTGGGGTCGCGGGGGCAGCATCTTGAGCAGGGAGGTCCAAACATCTCTTTCCACAGCCTCCTCTTCCAGCTCTTCTGGGAGGACCCCAAGGTGTCCCCAGGCCAACTGAGAGACATAGTCTCTCCAGCGTGTCCTGGGTCTTCCCCGGGGTCTCCTCCCAGTCAGACATGCCCGAAACACCTCCCTAGGGAGGCGCCCAAGGAGCATCTTTACCAGATGCCTGAAGCACCTCAACTGGCTCCTCTCGACGTGGAGGAGCAGCAGTTCTATTCTGAGTCTCTCCCGGATAACTGAACTTCTCGCCCTAATAAGGGAGAGTCCAGCTACCCTGCAGAGGAAACTCATTTCAATCGCATGTTTCCTCGATCTCATTCTTTCAGTCAGTACCCAGAGCTTGTGACCATAGGTGAGGGTAGGAAGTATACACTAAGCAATAATAGCATAGACACAATACGCCGAACAGTAGCACGAACATGAGTCTGTGTGAGCAAATGAGCATGAATGAACACAGCAACATGAACCAGATCAGCAGTAACTATGATATAAATATGATATTCTAGCCAGAAGTGCTACAGCTAGCTGCATCTGCAACTATTTATGCGTGCAAATAACCACAGAATTCTTTGTGAATCTCTGTTGGGCTTTTTTCATCAACTCAGAGATGTTCACGCTCTAGATCAGATTCCCCTCAATATGTTCAAAAACGTTCAAGCCAAAAACAACTGGACTTTATTTGTAACAGAAGACGTTTCACTCCTCATCCGAGGAGCTTTCTCAATTCGGATGAGGAGCGAAACGTCTTCTGTTACAAATAAAGTCCAGTTGTTTTTGGCTTGAACATTTTTGAATTTACCATGTCCTGGATGACTGAGAATCTTCATCAGCGTGTTCCTCTCAATATGGACTCCCAAGAAACTGTAGTCAGCTACTCACTCCACACTGTCTCTGCTTATAATCAGGGGTGGGACTGCCATTTTCTTTTTCCTGAAGTCGATGATCAGCTCCTTAGTCTTTGAGGTGTTGAAGAGCAGATTGTTCCCCCTGCACCAAGCAGTCAATTGTTCCACCTCATTCCTGTAGCAGTATCATCCCCCACTGCTGACCCCCCCCCCCCCCACTGTGGTGTCATCTGCAAATTTGGCTATCAACCTTTATTTATACAGGTAAATCCCATTGACTATGGTGTTGCTGTTGTGATGAACAGGGGTGCAGTGGTGTGTAGAGGGCATAGAGCAGGGGACTCAGCACACAGCCCTGTGGAGCTCCCGTGCTGAGGCTGAGGGCCATGGATGTGGGACGGCCCATTCGAACACTCTGACTGCGGTCAGACAGAAAACTATTTGCCAAAAATAATAAATACTTTTATAATTAATCATAATAATTAATAATTTTATACCAAAATGGTGTAATCTACTTTGTACAAGTGTTCAAATATACTGTTCATTGTATTTGTAGATGCAGTAAAACATCTTGCTAATCTGTTGTGGATGACACTTCATGCCTGCAGCTCAGATTGAGCCAAAACATCTACAACTTAATTTTTAATTCACCTAGATAGAAAAACAGATTACAAAACTGAGGTGCAGTGCAGGCTTGAATATACCTGCTTACTTTTCACTCTGCGCTTAGCATCCCCTTCTTTAGTTTCCTGTGACGTGCATCATTCAGTGGTGTGCTTTTCTTTTGTTAGGGTAGTGAGGGAATGACGAACTGAACTCCACCTCTGCTCTGACAGGCCTTTTTTAATTCACACAGCTGCATTCACTTGTTTTTCAGTTTACTCATAAATCCTTCTAGGATTCCACTCACTTGAATCATTTCAACTAACTAACCCTGTTTTTTTTTATTGTTGCAACATCTAAAATCTTTGATCAACGTTTTTAAAGTTAATTTCCACAGATTACTGTTCCATTAGTTTGGTAGCCTTCAGCTGTACCAAATACTTTTCAAACATTGTTTATTTTAATTTGATTTGCTTGCAAGCATTCCTGTTATCAAGATTGATAACTAAAGTAAGCATCATTACTTTTTTAGCTTCCTCTCAACATCTGCCCTGAGAATTTAAACCTCCTGCTGCTCTGGGTCACAAAACCCACCAAGCCTGAATCTTAACACTGAGGCCTTGTGGGTCATTTTGACCCAAGGGCAGCAGGCAGGTTAAGTGATTTTATGTCTTGTCCATGTGGCACAATAGTTTTACAGCTATGTTTTCATATTGTCGTACAAGTATCACTGGTTGTACACAAGATCCCTCTAGTGGAACTCAGAAGAAATGTTGGTATCAACTGCTAAGAAGTAAAACACCAAGCTAATTGCTCGTCATAAGCTGAATGTAACAGAAAGCAAACAGCAGAAGTTTCCAAAAAGAAGAATGGTTTGATCAAATTATGATCTTGGCCATAAATAGGAACATCTGCAGGGAGAGATGTAGTGGATAATATTTTTAAAACGAGGATGACAGTACCATGAACCTATGTATTACTTGCTGCTTGCTAGTGAAGTCTCTAAAGCAGTGGTTGTCAATCAGGCTGGCTCTGGGAACCACCATCACCCCTTAATGACAAGCCCCAACCCAAATGGAGGGGAATCTTTACTTTCTTGAACTTATTGAATAAAAAGATGGCGCCGTATGAACCGGAGATGGTAGAATTAAATATTACAATAAGCCAACACAATAAAAAATTAAAGAATTACTGCTTCACAGACTCATAATTTGTAGTTTTAGCTGAGTATCCACCTATTAAATGTATAACGTTTAACTAAAATTATTCACTTGACCATGAGACTGACATAACGATCAGATTGATGATTTTATTATAACATTTTTAAGTCTGCGTCTGTGCCTCACTTTGTGCTCACAACTCGCCAGTTGACAATCACTGCTCTGTAGGATCTACCGGCAAAAAGAGGCACAGATTTGATGCAAATTATTTCTTGTTGGAATTTTATTGTTTTTGCGGTAGAGGAAGACTACGACAACAGCTGGTGCTCTTCTCAGGAACAAGTGTATAAAACCATCACATCTTTATCTTACATTCATCAACCAGGGATAAAGGTTAGGCCTGTTATCTTGTTTATATTAGATATTAATAGAATCAACATCATGGTGATACTTGAAGACTTGAGTATTGTCTGCGGTGGTTCGCATCATAAAAAGTAGTCTAAGAATCACAAGTTTAGAGAGAGCACTGACTTACTTTTAGGAAATTCTGACAAAGATTTATTGTTTTTTAAATTACGACTCCAGTTGGATTAGACATCATCATTTTGAACTGAGCTTACAGCGTCTGTGATTTAGTGATGGAATATCAGATCTGTTCTGGGATCCAGTTTTCAGCTCTTCACTCTGTACTTGTTAGATTTTGCTGACAGACAGTTGTTGACTTCAACAGGTAATGCAAAATTTGAACAAAGGTTTTTTTTACGATCTGTTAGCAATTAAAGTTTAAATCAAATAAGTGAAGAATAGTACAAATAAAAGGTGTAAAACATGTGGACTACATCATGCTAGTAGTTTGTTAGCCGCTTTAAGTCGACTTTCAGTCGCACAGCGTGATCTTTCTCTCAAAACCACCAGAATGTTTTGGAATATCTTTAGGACAAGTTGCTGAGAAGGGATATGAGTAACTTTGATAAGACTAAGAATAAAACACAAAAATAAAAGTCAAAGTAAACAAAAGTGTTTATTTTCTTTAAAAATGTAACCAATATCCAACAAACTGGCCTAATTTTATACCGGCGTCTTTAACGTTTAGCTTTAAGTAGGATACTTAATTCTTTAACAATTAAGAGAACTCACATCGGCCTGCAGAGTTCAGTGTTTTAATCATCATAAAATTGTTAAAAATTATGTATTTTTCTTTCTTTATATGAATCTGGTCTTTTCTTTTGTATTAAAATGTAAAAATGTTAACAAATGTTAATAAGACATCTTTTGTTTTATAATATCACCCCCAGAAAAGCCATCTCCAACAAACTTGTGGTCCACGGGCCACCAGTTGACAGTGCACAGTTGTAGCAGGTTTTGTGGCTCCGGACATCATATTAGTAAGCAAAGTGGCAAAAATGGCTCTTTTACCAACAACCAACAGTGATTTTGAATTAAAAAAATAAAAAACTAATTTTGCTATGTCTCCTGCTCATGAAATGAAACTATTTTCAAGTCCAGCTGGGAAATCTTGACATCCAAATACGGTTTCCTCTTTCAAAAGATGTCAAGAAATCCTCATCAGAATGCGCTGAAAATAGGATTTGACTGATTTTCCAGGGGTTATCCTGATTAGCAAGACAAATCAAGCCATACCTCTGGAGCCACTCATGGTATCAGGATGATCTAAGTATCAAAATGTAGCTGAAACAGACAGAAATCTGAAAATGTGCCATATGTTTACTAATATATATATATATATATATATAATATATATATATATATATATATATATATATAAATTTTTAAACCTCCAGGGAGTTCAACGTAACTCCGTTTCACTAACGTTTAGTGACTGAGTGGACAGCCAGAAGAGACCAGAATCATTTGAACATCCAGATCTTTAACATCTCTTCATTTATCCTGACTCATGGTCAATAATCCAGGTGGAAAAATCCAACAAAGTTAAGTCAGGTCCTCTGGATGGTTTCTTTTGACGGTGAATCATTTCAACACAAAGAAACCATCCAGAGGACCATACTTAACTTTGATGGACCTCTTAATTTACTTTTCCTTACTATGGACAGATTTTTTAGAATTATTATAGAAGTTAAAACAAAAATAAGCAAGTAAATGGAAGGTACACTAAATGCTGGAGGCATTGCTGCACTGAGACTTCTGACGATATCACAGATTTTTCTCTTCAGGTCTCTGTGTAAACCATGATGGTACACAATGTGTTTAGGAAGAAACAAGTAGATTTAATGAAACGGTCAGTGATTTCAATATTAATTCAAAAAATTTCAAGGTGTCAAAAACCTGTGCCAGGATCAACCATTTCCTGCTTTAGACTGTTGCTTTCAACAAGACTGGCACTAAATCACTGCGTGTTTTTAAAACACGCAGGGCAGCAACAGAGTAACGTCTCCAGACTCCTGCTTCCAGGAATTCTCTGCAGCTGAAAGGCCTCGCTGGCAGCCGGCTTTAACTAAAGAACAATCACAGAGCTGTCAGAAAGACATACATCACTGCTGCAGACTGCAGTGGTTAACCCGGTCCTCTAAAGGAGGGTTTGTTTGTGTTTGTGTGGGTTTGTCAGCAAAATATCTTATGAACAACAGGATGTTAATGTTGTTGAAACTCTGAGATGTACATGTAATCTACAACTGATTAACCTTTGGAGTCAACTTGATTCCAGATGGTCCCCACAACTGTTGACCTTAACAAACATAAGAAAGGCTTCAACTCTTATCAGTTTTACAAATGTTTGGCTAAAATAGTATGTGTCTGTAGTTGTGAGAGTCGTACACACACATCTTCTGAGCTTGTGATTTTGCATATTATTTTTCCAGATGGGACTAAATCGGCAACAACTTTGTAATTGAATTGAACTTTGTCATTTCTCAACAAGGGATGATCTTAGTTTAAAACCTGACCTGAAAATCTGCAGAAGATACTCATTCTTTCAAGGAATGCTAGGTCTTTATTGGTTATAATCGGAATGAGAATAGTTTCTCAAATGCCAAAAAGGCTGCATATAACGTGAGTTAGGTTTGTATCCTGATACATACTCAATAATTCAGGTAGAAAAATCCAACAATGTAAAGTCAGGTCGTCTGGATCCAGTCCCCTGGCACAGAGTAATACTGTATATGCTGTTCAGTGTCAGGAGGGCTGTGATCAGTCTTACATGGGGGAAACTAAACAGTCACTGGCCAAAAGGATGGACCAGCACAGAAGAACAACAACATCAGGCCAGGATTCTGCGGTCTACACTCATCTCCAGGCCAGCGATCACTCTTTCAGGGATGAAGATGTTCACATCCTGGATAGAGAGTGTTAGTATTTTTATCTAGACTGACCCTGGGTTGTTTTTTTTTCTGCTCAGAGACAGGATTGTAATGAAATTATGACCCGGTTCTGACTGGTTTAAACGGGACCAGCAACTCTAAAAAGAGTCTCCCAGGGATTCAATATCCGTCAAGCAATAAAGTTTATTTTGCTTGCTACATCACACAGAAAGGCTTTTTATCCACCGTCTCATTTTTTCTGTACACGTTAAACCAGATAAGGTCCAATGTGACCACTCTTAGTCCCTCCCCCTCATCCAAGTGATAGGTTGTGCTCCCCTTCTGTGAAAGGAGGAGTCTAAGGCCTATATATTTGTAATGCCATGGGACATCCGGACCCTTTTTTCCGGTTCCTGAACTTGCGTTGAATTGTACCGAATAGGCCAGCGCTGTTACTGTATTTTTTTCCTGCCTTGATTTAATACAATTGGTAAAACTTAATTCACATTTCCTTGATTTATTGAGTGTGGGTTACTACTTCTGAGGGAGGTGCGAACCGGGTGCCTCCGCAGCTGGAGGTGGGGCCTGGGGTCCGGAATAAGACGCGCAGGACACACATTGACCAGCAATGAGAGGAACAATTGTTTGAGAGAGGAGTGAAGGAAGCCATCTTTGTGTCAATCATTAAACAGGGGTGGAGGCCTCCGTGTCCGATGGTCACCTCCTTACAATGCTGTTATTGCCAGTATCACTCTGCCCTCTGTGAATAACAAGCAGCTATCAGGGCACTAACGATCACTTGTTAGGCTGATGGTCCTCCTTTTGCATGTGAACAACTAGTTTTGGCTGTCACCAGCAAACTCTTTGATCCACTATGAGAAGGTGCTATTTATAAGACTGAGTTTATTGCAGATCCTCAGACTGAAGAAGTCTTTTGGATAAAAGATGAAACATCTCAACAAGAATCCATCCAGAGGACCTGACTTAACTTTGCTAGAGTTAGGTTTGTGTTTGTCAGATCTTTTGATGACCTCTCACTCACACTCTGGTTTTTAATCCTCAGGTTCACCAACACAAACATCATCCACAGAACTCCTGAGTGGACCCTGGTAGCTGTGGTGCTCCTGCATATGTAAGTTTAAAACACAAGTAGAAATTCATCCAGGACAGGAAGTGGGGGAGAGTCTGTCCCCCTGTACCGTCTGCTGCTTGTTGCATTTCACACGATGCTTGGGCATTGTGTGTGTGTGTGTGTGTGGGGGGGGGGGGGGTACCTTTTTAGGACCACCTCTGGCATAACCACTGACCTTATCAGGATCAGGACTGGTAGTCCTTATGGGGACTAAAGATTGGTCCAAAAACTGTGGTATTATTTTTGGTTAGATGCTGGTGGTGAAGATTCTCAGGTATCCAGGACATTATAATTAAAAAATAAATTAAAAGCAAGAGCAAGCAAAAACTAATTATTGAAGTGGCTAACAGGCTAATAAGCTCCTAACTCAAACTCTTCAAGAACTGGAAGTGGCAAAAATGAAGATGTTGAGGTTCTCCTTAGGAGTGACAAGGATGGATAAGATTAGGAATGAGATCATCAGAGGTACAGCACAGGTTGAACAACTGGGAGATAAAGTTAGAGAGACCAGACTGAGATGGTTTGGACATGTCCAGAGGAGGGACAGTGGGTATATTGGTAGAAGGATGTTAGAAATGCAGCTGCCAGGAAAAACACAAAAAGAGGAGATACATGGATGCAGGTAGAGAGGACATGGAGGTAGATGGAGTGAGGACAGAGGACGCAGAGGACAGAGTGAGATGGAGGAGGATGACTCGCTGTGGCAGTCATAGGCATTTCAGCAATTATATGTGAGGGGAACCACATTTAAAATAAAACATTTGCTTGGAGCCCGCCACATTTACCATAAAATATTTGTTCACCCAGCGTTGTTTCTAGTTCTTTGTGAATGAATCCATTCCACTTGATTACTGGTAATAGGAGAATACTCAAACCACTAAAAGTCCTCTCCGGGTTTTCCTAGTTACTTACAACAACTCACCACACCACATGCAGTGTTTTCTCTAGATCACTAGACGGGACGGGGGGTAGGAGGGAGAGACACCTCTGTGTTGCGCACCAGCACTATGCTAGTATGGGCAGTTGTTGACCGGGGGGGTGGAGGTGGGTAGAATGCACGAGAGAAGCAGAGCGCTATGTCTGTGACTATGTCTGTGGCACGCCGCTAGCTTAGCGCTACGTTAAGCCCCCAGTATACTGCCGCGTACGTCCGTTCACGCGTACATACGCGTGTACTGTACGCAGAGGGTTCAGACTTCAGACTCCAGCGTACACCCCAAGGAGCTGCAGAGCAGCTTCACAGACAAGGGGCGTTTACCTTCGGGACAAATTGAGGTCGCCGATTGGTCATTTGCTGACACGCCTATTGGATTGATTGACAGGTGTGGGGGGGGGACAAGCGCTGGCGGCCTCAGCCACAGTGGTGTTCTGTGTTTATATGTTGTTAATAAAAAGATCTAAAAAAAAAAAAAAAACAGGGAGCGCTGGCTCTACAGCCCACAGATCAGACCAGCACACCAGGAAATCTCCAGACCCTCCCGCAGCCATGCTGGATCTGAGTTTAATTCGCTCGTGACAAATTCCTTCATTTCTCACCATTTCAGTCATTGCATCAACGGAGGAGGAAGAGATCACTGCCTCTTGGCAAAAAAAAACCAAAAGAAATGGCCAGATCAGGGATGAAGAAGGGGAATTTAATACATTGGTGTCGCATACAAAACAGTCCATTGCCGGGCAGTTTATTGTGCGACACAGCATACGCGTATGCGGTCGTAAAAATTGAGCTTTGCACGGACATGCCCTGGTGGGTACTCTTGTACCTCTACGTACGTATGTGCGTACCTCTGCGTATGGACGCACGCGGCAGTATACTGGGGGCTTTAGTGCTGGTAGTTGTCGACCGGGTGGGGGTGGTGTTAGGATGCATGAGAGAAGCAGAGTGTGCTGTATTCACACAAGGAGATCTGTTGGTCAGGCTACTTCTTATTGTGCCGTGCAATAGTTATTAACTCTCAAGTGTTTACATACAGTATGTAGGTAACCGTAGATGTTTAACAACCCGTTAAAACCAGAATGCAGGAAATGGCATTTACTTTATTCAAATATTTCTGGGGGAGGACCCACAGACACCCCGCCAGTGTGTTTCCCCCCTCAATTACGAATTATTCTGACGCCAATGGTGGCAACCCCTGAAAAAGGAAAATCTGAAAGAAGATGATTTGTATTATTGTTCTGCCACAAAAACATTTAATGCATAGTTGCATTATTATGTAACTGTGAATAAATGGAAAACTTCTTAAACCCTTTCTTTTGTGGTTTTGAGCATAAATACTAATATTTTTGTTTTAGTTTTGGGCAACACTATATGGAGCCATTGTAGAAAAATTGAAGCGTCATATGTGGCCCTAGAGCCACAAGTGTCAGACCCCTGGTTTAGGCTCAAGTGTGAATTGAGTTCAAGGTTAGGCTGCAGGAACAAATGAGAGTCAATATAATGTGCTAATACAGACAGAAATATAAATGTGTGTGTGTGTGCGCGCGCGTGCGTGCGTGCGTGCGGTTCATGGACAGATCCGTGCTGCTCCCGTCTTAAGTACACACTGCCTTATCGCAGCTCGATTGCCCCTCTCCAGATCCACAATGCACTGCAGTTGTCACACAATCAGCCCTGCACACTTTTCAGTCAAACACACTGTAGAGTGTCAGCCTGAATGCATCAAAGTGAGGCACCTGAACTCACCCTCCTGGCTGGGAAATCCTTCACCTGATGCTCAGTGGACTCTGATTTATGACTCCCTCGGTGGTCCTATCTGTTTGCTGTACTCTGTTGATATAATTTCCAAATAAAATCTGCTAAATGTTGTGCGATTTATACCACAGACTAAAACACAAATCTGTCACCGCTGAAGGAAGGCAGAGACTGTCTTTGTTCAGGTTGGCTAAAAGTTATTCAATTGTAGATGTAGATGCAATACATTTCAGACACTTTCATTCAAATTCATCCAGTGGGTCATGAAATATTTTGCCAACAGCGCTGACTGATAGTAAATGGCAAATATATTAAAAAAAATACTTGTGCAGTATGTAAAGCTGAGAGTATGATTACTTTCTGGGAGTTTCATCAAAATGTATCCAGTGCTTCATGAGATGTTTTGCTAACACATTAAAACAGGTAAAAAACAATATTTCTCACCTTTCAGCAACAGGCAACTAAAAAGTGTCTCAGGTTTTAGTTTATGTGGGGAAGATATGTGCATGTTATATTTTTAAGTCACAGTTTTTGAGGTTTGATTTAATTGGTGCATTATTAAATAAACGGACCATTTTTGTCCCCCAATGCGAAAAGAAAAATGGGAATTATAAATACCCTCCATCCGTCCGTCCATCAGTGTATGTTGTGAATGTGAGAACTACAAGAATAAGTAAGGTATCTATCAACATCCATTTTATTTACGTGTGAAAAAGGTTCCTTCCAAAAATGAGGTTGCCAAATCCAAGATGGCCACCACCATACATATATGTAAACTGACCACCTCTTTCATTTGAAATTATGCTTTCTAGTTTTTATATTGCTTAAAAGTATAGTTTCCTCAAATGATTGGGGTAGGCAAAGATTAATCTATGGTGACCAAGGCCACCATTGGCCACCCTCTAGCTCTGTCAATGCACCTGGATGTGGATAAAATTGCTCCCTCCACGTGCCAGGATCCGTCACTCTGTGCAGTCTTGAACAAGCAATAAATAAATAAAACTCCCTCTGTTCTTCTACACAAAGTAACTCCTCCCCACTTGAATATCTTGCACCAAAAACATTTAGGTTTACTGGCATTCCCTGTTCAATTCCAGTCCAGAAAAACACTCATTTTAAACTAGTCACTGTTCAAACCCCTCAGCGGTGGGGGACGTCGTCTTATATGCAATGTTGCAGTCTGGTGGATGACAGGAGCTTTGTAACGGGTGTTGTTATTTATCGAGTCCTTACCAAACGGACCTGGTCTTCATCACGTGTCCCGCTGGCGCTCTATGATTTCATCAGCTGTCGTTGAGCTTGTCTTCACTCCGTCCTTCCATCATGAATAATTTGGTGTTCTGTCTTATCTATCCGCTGCGTGGCAGCTGTGGCGCTCGACGGGCTTCTTTTGTTCAGGACAGCTGAATAATGGATGCCCCCCTCCCTCGCTGCAACTCTAGACTTGAACTGGAGATCAACCAGCACACGGGACAGGTAGATGGGGCGAGCTGGCTTTGAAGGCAGAGGTGGAACACTTTTTCTGACAAATATTTAGACAATTTATCATCGCCGTCTGCCGAAATGTGAAAGTGACAATAATGTTCCTGCCCATCTGTGGACAGAATATCTTGAGAACTTCTGGACAGATGTGGATGAAGTTCCCAGATTCATTCCCAGAGTCATTGGATGTGCAACTACAACTGATACATTTTTAGAGCCAACCCAATCCAAGGTGGCTGCAGCAGCCACCTGACCTTAAATCACAAAACTGACTGCAGCTCAGCCAGTTTCAAAGATGCTGAGACCAAACTTGAAGTGGTAGTAGCTAAGCATCAACCCCAACACATTCCAAGCACTACACTTTACTTAAGAGCTTTGCTTAAACCAGTAGCACTAACTGCTACCTTGTTTGTTAGCAAAATATCACATGTATGTAATGAAACTCACAAAGTACGAAGAATATTTACAAATGTTTAACTTTTGAAGTCACCCTAAGTCTAGATGGCCACCTCAGCAAATCTTAGCGAACACAAACATGGCCAAACGTCTGTCGCCTTTACAGATACTGAGCTAAGATTTAACGTGGTAGTAGCTGAGAGTCATCCACAACACTTACTCCAAGGCTTAGGTAGTCTCCAGATACCCATTTATATTTTAAAACAATTGTTTGTGGCATCTTTTCACTACAATAGTTAATAGAAGTAAAATCCGTTAACATCCAGCCATTATCTTCACCCGCTTCTTCCTTTTTGGGCTGCGGGAGTCACTGGTGCCCATATCCAGCAGTCACTGTGCGAGAGGTGGAGGACATCCTGGACAGGTCTCAGTCCATCACAGGGACAGATAGAGACAAACAAACATTCACTCTCTCACTCACACCTAGGGACAATTTAGAGTTACCAATCAGCCTAACATGCATGTTTTTGGTCTGTGGGAGGAAACTGGAGCACCCGGAGAAAACCAACGCATGCACGGAGAGAACATGCAAACTCCACCCAGAAAGGCTCCGGCTGGGATTTGAATCAGCGACCATCTCGTTGAGAGGCAGCAGCTTTACCAACTGAGCCACCGTGCTGCCCATCAGTTAACATGAATTTAAAAAAATCCGTGTTGTAGTTTTAACAGTGGGGGCTTCATGCTTTTATTAGGATTTTCAGCAAACCAACATTTTTCAGTCAGGTCATCTGGACAGTTTCTTTTTTTTGTGCTGAAACGTTTCACCTTCCATCCAGAAGGCTTCATCAGTCAAGGAAACACACAACACAAAACTGATTCTTCCCCCAGCAGCTTACTCCAAAGTGGAACAAACCAGCTATGTTGGTGCTAAAATGGTCTCTTTGGCACGACCCCTCCTCCGTTGCCGGCCCTCTTCCTCATCGACAGTCATGTCAAACTGGTTCAAAACCAACAAAGTCTATGCTCAATAATCCAGGTATACAATCCAACAATTTTCAGTCAGGTCA